TGAATTTAAGATTTAGAGTTGGAGTTCAAATTCTATTTTATTTTGATCTCTTATTTCTAATCTTTTCCTTTTTAACAACTTTGTTTTAAAATATTTCAATAATGATATAGCAAAATTTGAACACGATATATTTTTCATGTATTTATCTAACAAGCGGATATAATCTATATACACAAATATTTAAAACCATGTGTACAGCGGATTCAAGGTAAAACGACATATTAAATTTATAATAAATATATCGTAATATCATAAATAATATGACTTGTCCTAACTTTAGATAATAAATAATTTATCTCCAATTTAACTTCATAGTTCTTATATTCTAAAATTTTCCAAACGAGTCTCGGTATTCTCAAGATAGTGTCTATTTGACTTTTATCAACGCTACGAGTTTTAATTTCAATTAAATTAATGGAATCAACGTAACGATCCATTAAACATAAAATAAAAAATGTGGGGGGTGAGAAAGGGTACTTGTGTCAGATTTTAAGGTGATTTCATCTCCTTTTGGGGAGTTTTCCTCTGTGCATTTTCTAAGAGCAAATTCCTCGGCACAAAGTTTAGCTTTTGAAATTAGCTTTTGAAATTGTATCTTCAAAATGTCTATGAGCGGTTCACCTTTTTTCTCAATTGGCTTCTTAAAATAGGCAAAAAGAATATATATATATATAGAGGGAGGATTTTGAACCTCCAACCTCGAATGAATAAAGCATATGCATTTATATATATAGTTGAATTAGGCTCATGTTAGATAATAGTTTAGCAACTTATCATAAGTACATGGACCGAGTAAATGCAACTCCAAAAATTGAAGAAATCGCGTAGTTTTCCTCTCGATTTTCCATTCTATGTAGTATAGGATAAAGTTCGAGAATCCTCTCTCCGACTAAGTTACTACATATAAATTCCAAGTCTGGTCTTCATTGGCTTTTGCTTTTTCCCACCCACTACATTTTTTTGGCCCCTGCCCGATCGAACTATCTGAGGTCGATGGTGCATCCAGTAAACTCTTTCAGTATTCATCTCCAGAGGTCAATCAGATGTTTCAATCTTTCCTTCATATTTGGTCTCTTTCTTTCATGTAAAACTTTTTAAGTTACATAGACTAAATAACATACGTGACCTAAAAAATTATGTTACCAAATTTACCATTTAACAAAAAAGAAAAACACGGGAATGAATATATACATATAGAGAGAGAGGGTTTAATTAATTACCAAAAAAAAAGAAGAGAGAGAAAAAAAAAGAAAGAAACTATTGAGCCACCTCAAGAGGCAGCACCACCAAACGAACACACAGCGCAGAACGCACAAAACGTCACTCTCAAACCACAGAGAGAGAGAGAGAGAGAATTTGCAATTTGGAAATCTGAATTCCAAAGGAATCTCAAAGAAACTCGGAGACACTGATTTCATTTTCCCCTCAAAAAAAGAAAAAACGAAACCAAAAAACTCACTCTCTCCGAGCGAGCGAGCGAGCTCCGCAGTGGTACTTCTGTTTCCCCTGCTTTGACCGCTTCTTCTTCTTCTTCTTCTTATGGATTGTTGGTCCCTTTCTCTCCCTCTCGACGACGAATTCGAGAAGCTCGTGAACCGTATGAACCCCCCCAGGTCTGTTCTTCTCTCGATTCTCTCTTTAATCGCCCAATCTGATCATGGGTTCGCCGATTCTGTTCCTTTTTCCAACTGGGTTTCGTTTTTCAGGGTCACCATTGATAATGATTCCAGCACAAAGGCCACTCTCATTAAGGTACTCTTCGCTTCAATTTTCTCTTTAATTTTCAGATGGGGCATCCGGGTTTTTGATCGATTTGAGTTTGGGGGGGTTTTTTCTTTTTTTCTTTTTTCAGGTTGATAGTGCGAATAAGCGAGGGAGTTTGCTGGAAGTGGTTCAGGTTCTGAATGATTTGAATCTCATCATACGGCGAGCTTACATTTCTTCTGATGGCGAGTGGTTCATGGATGGTGAGTTTGAGCTTTGATTTGATTTGATTTCATGCCCCTGTAACTGAAAATTCCGTAAAAGGGTGGAAGAAAAAGGGCCTTGGATTTTGGGGACAATCATTCATAATTTGATTTCTTTCTCTCTTTTCCTACCTTCCTTTTTTCTTCAGTGTTTCATGTAACGGATCAACGTGGGAACAAGCTCTCTGAAAACGACGTTGCTGAGCGCATTCAACAGGTGAGTTCAATGCCCTCCTCTCTCATTCACTCATCCGTACAGTTTTTCTTAAGCTTAGACTTAGAGCTCCTTTTCTGAGAATTTCGGGTTCTGATTCTAGATTGGCTTTTCAGAGGAATTTAGAGTGATTGTACTATCTGAATTAGAATTTTCCATTTTCTGATTTGCTTGGTTCTGAATATGTAGACTTTGGCCATTTTCTCATTGGAGTGAAAGAGAGCGAGAGAAGGTCTAAGAGAAGTTTTAGAACTTTTATGTTACAAAATGAACAGAATTCGTTTGGTTTTGTCCTGAATCTGAGATGATATAAGATGTTATGTTATGTCATGTTTGTGTTTATGGATGAATTTGTGTTGCTGCAGTCACTTGGGCCGAGGGCTCGGAGCTTCCGGTCGTTGAGGCGATCAGTTGGTGTCCAAGCCGCTGCGGAACATACCACCATTGAATTGACTGGAAGAGATAGGCCCGGTTTGCTCTCAGAGGTTTTCGCTGTTCTAGCAGACCTCAAATGCAATGTGGTTGCTGCAGAGGTTTGGACTCACAATTCAAGAATGGCATCCGTTGTCTACATCACCGACGATGCTACCGGGGTGCCAATTGATGATCCTGACCGGCTTGGTAAGATAAAACAGCTTCTCCTCTATGTCTTGAAAGGGGATCGAGATAAGCGCAGCGCCAACACTGCTGTTTCTGTGGGTTCTACTCACAAGGAAAGGAGGCTGCACCAAATGATGTATGCAGACCGTGATTACGACCAAGAAGACTTGGTGGAGCGTGGCTCGACGAGTGATCAGAGAAAACCCCTTGCAACCGTAGAGAATTGTGTCGATAAGGGATACACCGTCGTGAACTTGAGGTGTCCCGACCGTCCAAAGCTGCTGTTTGATACAGTTTGCACATTAACAGATATGCAATATGTAGTGTACCATGCCACAGTCATTGCTGAAGGACCAGAAGCATCTCAGGTAACCCTTTTTTCTCTATCCATGGCCTATGGCGACATCTCGCGATGCATTTGATAACTCGGTTTCGTTAAATTGTCAAACATGTAAAATCGAAACTCATTCGACTATGCATTTGTCAAGCAGGAGTATTATATCAGGCATATGGATGGAAGTCCTATTAGTTCTGAAGCAGAGAGGCAAAGAGTAATCCATTGTTTAGAGGCTGCCATTCGAAGGCGAACATCCGAGGTGATAAACGATGTTGATTTATGTTTCTTGCCTAAGATTTTTATTTTATCGATTCGAGTCTTATGCAATAGTGTGCTCTGCTGAAAACTCAGGGTATAAGACTAGAACTTTGCAGCGAAGACAGGGTCGGTCTCCTATCCGATGTGACTCGAATCTTTAGAGAAAACGGTCTTGCAGTCACTCGAGCTGAAGTTACCACCCGAGGCTCTCAGGCTATCAATGTGTTCTACGTAACTGATGCGTCTGGGAATCCAGTCAAGAGCGAGACAATTGAAGCAGTTCGAAAAGAGATTGGCCTCACTATACTCCGTGTGAAAGACGACGAATTCTGCACAAAATCACCATCTCCGGAAAGCAGTAGATTTTCGCTCGGTAACCTTTTCCGATCTAGATCAGAGAAGTTTCTCTATAACTTGGGCTTGATAAAGTCATGTTCTTGAGGAATTTGGTTTAGTGAATGTTAGAAATCTCCTTCCTGAATGAATATGGCCTTAGAAAGTGCTCAAAATTACAACACACAGTTTAGGTCAATCCTTTGTTGATCTTTTGCTTAAGTTCAATTTCAACTTGTACAGTATTATTATTATTCATCATGTATATGAATTTACAGTTCTACCCTCTGCTCTTAATATCTAGTAAATATCTCCATGGTCCAAAAGTTGTTTTTTTTTTCTGTTATTTATTTATGAACCTAAGTTAGTTCAAATAAGAAATAGAGCACAGTTTGTCTTCTTTATTTGTTTCTATTGACTTATTTATACTAATATCCAATAAATGAGTGGATCTTAATGATGTTTGACTAAATTTGAGCCAATAAAAGCTCATGAGTTCGAATTCTGTCCTTAGATGTTATATATTAATTTTGTCCTTAGATGTTATATATTAATCAGAGGGGAGACGAATATGTTTTCCGAGATCTATTTGAGTGACTTATTTGGTAAGAATTTTGATATGGGTGGTGGGAAATTTGATCACAAAGTGCTTTGTGACAACGCTTGCAACTAATTGGAATGTGCAATTCAACCATGGCCATTCATTGTGTTAAGTTACCAATTTAATCTAGTTTATGTCTAATAGGTCTTTAAACTCTAAAAAATATGTAATATGTACCTAAACTTTCAACTTTTGTGTATGAAAGGTTTCTTAACTTTAAAAGAGTTGGATAAATCTCTAACTTTTACTTTGATAAATCTCTAAACTTTTGCTTTTGTGTTTAACAGATGTTTGACCTTTTATCTTTTTTTTTTTAATTGTCAAATCTATTTTTGTCTAATAAAATGCATAGATATGTTAATTTCTTTATAAAAAACCTTTAAATGAGTGGATGATATTAGATACAAAATTGAAAATTTATAAACTTATTAGACACATTTTAAAATTTAGAGATCTATAATTAAAAAAATCAAGGACCTAAAATAGATATTTTTTAAGATTATTAGACTTAAACTTATAATTTAACCTAAATTTTAATAACTCTAGATCCTATGTACTTAAAAAGGGAAAAAAAATTTGATTCCATGTAATTTCAACCCACTTGGAGGAGAAAAAAGGAAAGAGAAACAGAGAGAATTTTTATAAAAATTTGAATGGTTGAGATTTACTCAAATTGTTTTGGAATCTTAAAATTAAAATTAAAATTAACCCATTGTTGTCTCTTGTCTGTCATTTTAGAACCAATTGTCACTATCATAACTTTCTCCACAATACATTCCTTTGCGAATATACTTTTTAAATAGTAAAAATAATAATAATAATTTTATAAACGTGATTATCTTCTAAAAGTTGACAATTTTTTTTTATGGAATTTATAGCGAAAAAGAAATAAAGGAAGAACAAAAGGATATTACTTTCTTTTTTTTTTCCTTCAATTTTTGTATATGGCAATTTAATTTTACATTTGTACAAAGGTAACAATTAAATCCTTGAATAAATTTTCCACTAAAAAATTGGAAAAAAAAAAGTCATTAGAACAATTAATTGTATTTGAACTATATTTTAAGAAGATATTGATGAATCTTAATTATGGGTCCATAGATTTTCCATATAATAGTATGGTCCAAATCAATTTATTGATCTCAAGAAATTGTGGAAAACTCTATAGATGAAGAAAATTTTTACAATATAAGAACTCAATCATTAAATATTTTAACATTTTAAAGCTGTGGGCTATAGCAAAAATTTCGATAAAAATAAATGTTGTTTGAACCTAGAATTTAAATTGATAATTTATGTAAATAACAAAGTAATAAGCATTTAAACTACCAAAAGAGCAAAAACAAAGTAATATGAAGAAACAATGTCTTAAATGTTCCAGGTTTCAAACTTTTTTTTTTTTAACAATATTATAGAAAAGTTTATTCATCACTTGTATCAATGTCGAACTCATAGACATATGGAAATGTTAACATGTTGATGGAAATTTAATACCGAATAAGTTTTATTAGAAATATGAATATTAAGAATTAATTGAAATTTGATTGAAGTAAGGGAGTTAGAATGAATCCGATAACAGAATGGAGAGGGGAAAATTTCTAGTACTAATAAGAATATGGATACTCATATTCTCAGTCTGCCATGTTAATATCATATTAAAATAATATGGGATCCACTAAAACATTAAAAAATTATTAGACTTAACAAAGGACCTGGCCCAAATAGGATGGAGAATCCTCGTTTAAGCCGCGCACACGGTGGAGAGGAATTTTTCTCCTTGACGTAATAGGGATGGGGACGAGGAATATGTTCCCTACACCCACCTTTCTTTTTTTAGAACAGTTTATATATTTTTTAATTATGTGTGGTTTGTGAATTGTGAATTGTGAAATTTAAATTCTAAAATTTGTTCTTCTATAAAACGATCATGTGATGTTTAAATATGTATTCTTCATAGAAAATTAACCATTTAACTTGAATTTCCTTAAAAAAAAAAAGAAAAAGTAAATGAAGAGTAATTCTACGGGGAATCTCCACCTTGATCTCCTCGAAATTTGACTGAAATTTTTGAAAGGACAAAGAATAGAATGGATGACGAGGACAAGGATGCTGATGACCCTATCCCTACCCTAATAACACTCCTTTTCTCCCATTAGAGAGTATTAACAAATGAATTCAAACAATAAATTATGTCACATCATGTGGCTCTAAGTATGAAGACTCTTCAAAGACAAACTTCTACTCATATTGACTTGGGCATGATATCACTTTATTGTCTCATGACAACAACACACCAATATATGAACTATATACAACGTCACAATCTCCTCAATTCAAACTACAGAGCTCTACTCGACTACATGATCACAAAAGCGTCGATATTATCTCGACATTCAAACACATAATTTTAACATGTGGAAACCTTCACTAATCATCATTCGAGTACAGWTCTGTTATCTCACAACTCTACCAAACCACACTATTATGCATCACAATATTTGTAGGTTTAGAACTTAGGAGAGGAAGAGAAAAAAACTAATGATGGAATTAGTAGAGGACAAGCATTTTACAACCAAATAAAATTTACTCAGAAAGAAAAAAAGTTAAATGAAGAAAACAAAAGAAATTACAAGGCAACCCTCTTTATTTCTCCCAAAAAAAAAAAAGGCAGCCACTAAGATTATATCCTTGCATAATTTCTGTCATAAACAGCATCTAATTTCAAATAAAATCCCGCTTCATGAGCACAATCTCACCAACAGTACAATTTTACAAGCAAAAAGATTCAAAGGGCCCTTCAAGTTAAGACTCGTTGATCCAAAAGGAAGAACAAGAGAAGATTAGTAAACCGGATGTGGTCAAATCAGGCCACCGGAAGCTCGCCGCAGTCGCTGATGACCACCTTCTTTAGCGGCCGGTCTCCACGGTCTGTATCTTGCGATTCAATTAGCTTAACGATCTCGAACCCTTCCAGCACTTGCCCAAAAACCACATGCCTCTGATCCAGCCATGGCGTCTGACATTCACCCAATAGATGCAAAAGATAAGGATTTGGAAAACCAGATAACCCCGTGGAAGCTATTCCACATAGTAAAAATGCATCAGAGAATCAACATAAATATGCATTCGAGTTAGTGTCCGGTGTTCAGATTTCCACACCAGAAATCTGTCCAGACAGAGAAGAGTAGATATGTAGAACAAAAACAGCAAATGGGATGCATCTAACCACGTGTAATATCGAACAAACCGATAGATATTGCATTCACTACATCGAATTGCAACTCCAGGWATTTCACYCAATTATTATCGTTGAGCGAATGCGATGTGAATCGGATGCAATCATCAATCAACCGTCAAGTAATGAAGAACATGATTACTTCCAGTCAAGCAAAATGAAGAAGTTTGCCAGAACATGGTGAACACTGGTTAAGCATATTGTCTCCAATTCAAGTTCAATAAGATTAGACAGAATTAAAACCAGCAGCTAGCGAAGAAGCATCTAGTCAGAAAAGCATATTAGAAAATAATAACTCAATGAAGTTGTCCTACACCATTCCCATGTCTCAAGGAACTCAACTAGGCATTATAATTTTGGTTAAATTTCAAGTTTGCATAAACTTTGTGTCTACTACGCATCTATGAGTACTTTCAATTTTATGCCCAAAATTCCCCAAGCTTTTAAAAGTATTTAATACGGTAGGAACCTATGATACACAAAATTAAAAGTTCAAAACCTATTACACCTTTAAAAGTCAGGAATCTAACATAATCCTGTAGGTTCAAAACCAAACTTATAATTTAACTTATAACTTTATAGGCTCACTGCTGATTAGTATAAAAGATAGAGGTTTATACGCACGGTACCTTGACAGTGCATATAAAAAACTGACTTCCATTAGTGTTTGGACCTGCATTTGCCATGCTGACAACTCCTGGTCCAGTATGACTCACTGCAAGACAGAAGAAGTTCCGGAATTGAGTAATGGGACATAAAGTATATAGACTTTAAAATATGATAATATCCTGATGGAAAAGAGTGTCAAAAGAATGGGAAAATTTGTTGTCTATATTACAACAGTATAATGTTTAGCAGAACCGCTGTCTGTCGCCAAAAGCAAAAATTAATAGACAAACCAAGATTCACATATGTTTCACAATATAAAATGCACTATTCATATTGATGAGCAAAGGATTGATATAGAAAGTACAGTACAGTGGCATTTGGAAATGACCTGAAACTTATGATTCAATTAAATAAAAGCATGAGGCCCTCTTATTACCTTTATTTTTGGGCAAATTATGCCCTTTAAACCTGATTGCTCTTGTTTGTTTTACAGATAATTTCAACTTTTAAAAACCATTACATTGCTCGAATCTTGCATGACATGATATATAACACTTAATAATAATATTTTTACATAACATGTTTGAAAACCAGTCATTGTTGAAATGAGTAAACATACACGTATATTTCAATCAAAATGTCTTTCCCATGTCATCCTAATCATTTGAATGAAGTATCCACCATCTTGCCATGTCCCATATCCATATTTATACACTTGAAATATTTTGACTATAGTTGAGACTCAATAGGAAGCCAACAGGAGAGGGAGAAGATATGAGGAGGAGGGAACAAGCGTTGTGGAAGCATCGACAAGAAGTGGTCGTGTAACCAAGGTGGGTCAGTGGGGTGGGTCAAGGAAAGTGGGTTTAGAGAAATTCTGCAAAAGGTAGGTTTGAGTTGAGCTTTACCATATAATTAGGCTACAATTTTATCTTTTTAGAAAAAGGTAGGTTAGAGATACCTATTTTCATATAATATTAATGAAAATTTTCTTCTTTTGGTAAAAGAAACAATTTCAATGATATTATTAAATTACAAAAGTGGCCCATAAAAGGGATTACGAAAATCTTTTCTAGCTGTACACCAGAGAAGAAAAGCTATAATTGTGAAAAATGGGAGCATTTACAACAAKAAATAACCAAAAATACTATAGCTTCAAAAAAACCGATCAAAGGAGAGTTCTTTTCTATTGAAAATGTGTTGATTCCTCTCTCTCCAAGTTACCCAAAGAAAGCTGCAATAAAATTCATCCAAAGAAAGTTCATTTCCTTTTTAAAAGGATGTCCCACAAGAGTTGCTTCCATAATATTAATGAGAAATTTCAAGGAACCTAAATGTCATCACAAAGAATCTTAAACAGATACGTATATATAACATCTGACAATGTGGCAAAACTTTGGCAATAGTAGTAAGAGTCAAATCATCTCTTAATTAGGCTTTTTCCTTGGCTAAACAAAAAAAATAAGCCTTTCTTCCATTAGAAACTAGAAAGTAATCTTGGTGTAGTAGTCTTTTACAGAGACAGGTGACAAACATGAACAACCATAGCTTGAGGTACAGGATTTAACTTACATTTGAAGTTTTCATCTTTAAATGTACGACCATAAATGCTTTTACCCCCAGTTCCCTGAAAATTATAAGATTTAATTAATAATAATTCAAAAGCATGTATACAGTTATTAAATAAATTCCTTGATAGTAAACAATACATTTAAATTTTTGTGCTCAAATTTGCTCCCGCAGAAACAGAGTACACACATTAGCTTAGATCAATAGGTTGAAAAGCTTAGAAAAGGTATCATATGACCTGCCATGAGATAATATATGCAACAACCTTTTTTTTAACGGGTGTTTAGACCAACTTATGTGCATCTCAACTAATCTCATGACCCTACAACATTTGATTGTCAAAAAACTCCCGAGATTTTAATTCCCTAAGTAGGTGACCTATGAGGTTTGAACCTATTGCCCCAAAACCTCTATACTTCACATACCCCAATACCACTAAGTCAACCTATGRTGGTTAAGATAATGTATGCAACATTGACTGTAAAACTATTTAGAGATGACCTAATTTCTTATTGAGTAGTTGTATCTCACTTCATCATCTTTCCTTTTATCCAAAGATATTCATATATCTTATGCCTATAACAAATCTATCATCCAAGGAAATTTGTTCTTCACGAAATTAATTCTCTTCTACACAAACATGATACAGATGCATAACAAGATATTACAAAACCTTTGCATTTCCCCATTCTACATTTGCTTAGGTGCTTCCCTCTTTATAATGAATATCAAAAGTGGCAAGTACTCTGACTTCCCCACCTTCATATTCTAATCATGTCCAAAAAGGTTATTTTTCTTTTCTGTTTTTGGCATGAGAAGCTTAACCATACTCTCAAAACCTCCCAATCAGAATAATCATAATTAAAAAGAAATATATCATCCCTACTAAAATCAATAGGTTTCTCCAGGCAATCTATTTGAGACACTGCATCACTGGCAAAAAGTAGGAGATGATATAGAAATTTCAAGAAGCCAATAATAGTCAATGAACTTACCAAATGACAGGAAACAAGAACTTTTTATGAAAATGCCTTTGTGTTGACCAATACTAAAAACCTATATGAATACTGCCCAATCTACAGCCGAGTTAAAAGAGAACTCATAGAATGTTAATATCTCCTGAACCATTAAATGACCTATTGACTATAAAAAAACGGCTTGGCTACCTCAGTGGGCAAATAATGGTGGCTAACTGATAAGATCTACTTACAGCTTTCCATAATTGGAAAAAAAATTACATAACAACATACAAATTCCATATTGACAGTGAGAAAAGAGAAGGCGAATTCTTAGAATCTTAATCCTGTGCATAAAGCAATAAATAGTAGGCAAGAGCACTCACATTTCCCTTATCAAAGTCACCCCCTTGTATCATGAAATCCTTGATTACACGATGAAATGCAGAACCTTTGAATCCAAAGCCCTTCTCTCCTAATAAAGTTAGTAAGGTGAGTTACATCCAGATTCCAGAAGCTGACTTGAGTTTTGATGGTAATGAAAAGACGGACGTAACAATACCAGTGCAAAGAGCACGGAAGTTCTCTGCCGTTTTGGGCACATCATCCCCAAACAATCCAATCACAATCCTCCCAGCAAGCTTCCCTACTGGATTCCCAATGCTCACATCGAAATACACCTTGCTTGTTACTTTCGCTTGTAGAGGCGCTGCCTAAAATCAAACAAAAAAGGACCAACACAACAACACAGCAACCAGATATAATTTCCCTCCTCATCTCCAATTTCACCGACAAARAAACGATGAGAAAACAGCGTATTTCTAAGCCTAACCTCCGCACTAGCTCGGACCGAGGTACGGACAGGAACAGCAGTCCTGGAAGAGAAGGGGTTGGAGGAGGCTTTGAGAGAGGGAAAATGCAAAGAACCGGACAGGAAAGCCGCCGGCAATTGAAACCTATGGAGCTTAAGGGAATTGCAGGGAGCGGAAGCTCTGGTATCGGACTGGCAAAGGAAAGCAAAACCAGGTGAGAATCGAGAAAGCGAAAATGAAGAAGCAGAAGCTACAATTAGAGAAAAAGAGAGGAAAGGGAAAGGGAAAGGGAAAGTTTACCAGAGGAATGGTAGCAAAAGGAGCCGCCAACGCCATGGAAATGGATGGAGAGTGAAAATGGAGAGCAGCTCCGAATCCGATGATAAGGCTTCACCAGTATCATATAAATAAACCAACGGGACGGGGAAGGGTATTTTCGCCATTTTGTAACTTTTTTCCGCCATTGTTTTGTTGTACCCGTACGCAGCGATGAGTTCGAGGAAYTCTGCAAATTTTAATTTTTACCATTATATATTTATATTATTTTTTAAATGAATTTTGAAAAAATAAAACACTTTTCAAAAAAATAAAATAAAATAAAAATCGGGTTGCTTCAAAATTAACTTTTAAAAAACAATAGATTATTCAAAAAGTTATTTTAGTGGTTTTCGGTACTTAAATTAAAAGGTAGTATTAAACTCATCCTAAGTCCAACAAAATCAATATTAACATTTTATATCATTGGTAAATTATTAGACACAAAATTGAATTTTGTGTTTATTAAAATCCTAAACTTTCAATTTTGTGTCGAATAGTTTCGTGTATTTAAAATATTTGTACAAATAAAGGACTCTCGACACATTTTTGAATTCAATGGTCTAATTGACACAAATTTAAAACTTTACTTTTTAATAATATCTAAATAATTAACATACCGTTTGTTATTTCATTTTTAATTTTCTGTTTTTGTAAATATTACTTTGTTTTTTAACTATTTGAATTCCCAACTAAATTTAAGAACAAAAATATTTTTTTAAAGTTTTGTTTTCTTTTTTCAAAATTTGACCTAGATTTTGAAAATATTTTTAAAACAAAAGAACATATAGATAGAAGTTTTTATTGTAAGCTTATTTTTCAAAACAAAAAATTAAAAAATAGAAGGATGATCAAACTGGAGCCTTAGTTCTTAATATTTGGTTCATATTTCAACTTCGTCCCTAATTCTTTCTTTAATTTTTAGTTCCGTAATTTACATATTAAAATTATTCAAGATTGTTTCATTAATTGTTGTTTGTAAAAATATGTTATCTGAGATTCTTTTAAGATTACAACTATTTGAGATTTTGGATCACAATAATAACTCATAATAGCATATAGATTAAAAACATATTTGGTCCTTATACTTTCATTAAAATAACAATTCAGTCCTTGAATTTTTAAGTATAATGATTTGGTCTATATACTTTCATATTAGTAACAATTTAGTCCCTTAACTTTAATATATAACAATTTAGTCCCTATAGTTTAAAATTTGTAACAAGTTAGTCCTTACCACGAAAAAATCTCATCAAAATTAAGTGTCAAATTTTATCATAAAACGATTTCATTTTTTGTAATATATAAATAAATTTGATTCTTCATCGGTTTATCAATCTACATATATAAGAAATTTAACAAAAAAAAAATCATGATAGGGACTAAATTGTTATAAAATAAAACTTCAAGGACTAAATTATTAAATTCTAAATTTTAGGGACTAAATTCTTACAAATTTGAAAATACCGTCAGTAAATCGTTACTTTTGATAGTTCAGAGATTAAATCGTTACTCCGACTAAAGTATAGGGACCAAAAATGTTATTTAACATATTAGATATCCTTCCCTAATGGTTTCCACCATATAGTAAATTTTGAATTTTAAGATTTATGTCATTCACATATTTTATGATAAGATAACTTCAAAAATTTGTTGCATTCCATTGATATAAGACAAGTTGAAGTTCAAACTAAAAAAATAAAAAAACGAACAATTTGATATAAAAGATGTCAATTCTTCTTGCAACAAAAGAGTCACCAAAACTCTTCCTTTATTACATCTTTATTCTCTCTCTAAACTAATCAAATGCTTCCACAAAAAGCACTTTATAATAATTTCTAAATCTCCATAATCATTTTATATTTTGTTTTCTATTTTTATTTGGTCATAATTTCTTTAGTATATTTATTTAAAAAAAACAGCTAAAATAAGTCTTTAAAGGTTGTTTTTTATTTCTCAAAATTTCGCTTAAATTTTGAAAATAGTTTCAAAATATAGATGAAAAAAACATGGATAAAAATAGTATTTATAAGTTTAACTAAAAATAAAAGGGTAACCAAACAAAATCTAAATTTTTTAAAATTTTCAACGTCAAACTAAACACTAGAAAAAAAAAATTAAAAAGAATGCTTTGAATTGATTGAAAACACACTTTACCAATACAAAAGTCATCTCAAATCCCCCTAACAAATCAATAAAAGGTTAAAATTATAAAAAAAAAAAAAAAAATACCTACCAACTTTGTCATTTGTTTCAAAGAGACCTTTATCCTTTCRAAAGTTTGAATATTATCTTTTACCTTTAATCTTTCATAAACATTCCAAAAACACCTTTGAGCAGACCTTCAAACTCATTTATTGCAACTCTATTCCCTTGAAATTAAGTTGAGAAATAAGATTGAACTTTGTAGATAACTTATGAAGATAAATTCCTATTATAACCAATATCTAAAGACCGCAAGAACATATTAAAGAAAGCGTAAAAAGCGTTGTAATTCAACCAATTTTGATATCTTTAGCGATTTCCCCTCAACTCTCTTTGAAGTTTCTGTACAAAGGTTTGGTATTTGAGCAGCACATTAATCTGTGTGGTACCAATTCAACTCAAATTTGATCATTTACAACTGCTGGGAAAAAGAAAAAAGAATAAGAATACATACCTGCACATGTTTTTACCTCTAAAAACCTATACAGCAACTTACAAAGAGGGTTAAAAACAAGGAAAGAAGAAACTGCACATTCTACAAAAATGATTGGAACAAGAAAGAAAAAAAAAATTCAATTTCTATCGGGTCTCTAATCGTCTAAGCGTTGAATTTCACCCATCATAATCCGGTTGCTGGTGACTTTGAAACCGAGTAACGCGGGGTCTATTTGTCTCCCCTTCTTCCCTTTCTTTTTCCCACCTTTCCCTCCCTGCATTCCATCCGATGGCTCCGAGACTCCACTCATTGTCGAATGGGCATCTTGTGGAGCTGTCTTCTTCAGCATATCGATAAATGATGTCTCTGATACGTCGCTATCGCTGCAAGAAGAAGAGCGTCGGAAGCGCATCTCTTTCTTTACAGCACCCATGTTTTCTTGGTTCACCAAAATAGCAGTTGGGTCGGGTCTTCCTCCTAAAACTTTTAAGATGAGTCTCAGATTAAGTTGGGGGAAAAACAGATCAAGAACATAACAGAATGGATCGCATATTATTTACCATCAGCAACATTGCTCAACGAATTCTTCCCTCTAGCAACTGGTTCAGAAACCAGAACAGACAATCCATCCTGGGATGCTGAAGAGCGTGAGACAGGAGGGCGTTTCAATAATGTATTATCTTTATTGTGAATGGTCACCCTGTCAGAAGATTTTAATTAACAATTTTATGATAAATTCAGAGAACCTTAAAGCAACTGATCTAACGAAGATATTGAATGGTGAGATTTATAAAAGGAACCATAGACACTAGCAGGTCAGTAAGTTTAATGCTACCGAAGAAAGGTTTTTTCCCAAGTACGGACAAAAAATTCTTGAGGAATAAGAACTTACGGGTCTTTAGCAATCTCTTCTGGAAACGTATTAGCAATCTTTTCATTGTGAAAGCCTACATTTCCAAGACAAAACATAAGAATGCACCTTCATAATGGAATTAAGAACAAGAAAAGAGAGTTTTTAGGGGAGAGAGAATAAATAATACCAGCAGAACCAACAGAAGAGTGCCGACTAAGGGTATGAGTATCTATTGAAAAATCCCCATGATCAGCAGATGCCCCTTGTTCAAGCATGCTTTCTTGAATTTGAAAAGTCTGAGTCTTCATCAAACCCTCACCTTTCAGTCCACGACTCCTGCCCTCCACCTCTAAGACTTCTTTATTCATAGAAAGGTTTCCGGCCAAGCTAGAACTAGCACTGTTAATTGCACCATTAGTTTTAAGACCACCCAAAAGTGAAACTCCCTTGACAACAGAGCCAGAATCGGGCCTGTATGGCACCTTTTCATTGCTTGCCAAGCTGCCAGGATGCTCATCTTCCAGTGGTTCATATGAATTAGAAACATAAGACCCCACTGGCAATGAGTTGTTCAACCCTCTTTCCTTGCCTGAATGAAGAATGAACGACTGATCCAGAGAGCCTGGTCCAGCAAAGAGACCAGATGATGTAGTATTGAAGGGTGCTCCATTTCCTACATCCGAGGGTTCTGTAGATTGATTCACAGATTTCTGATTAAGGAGTTCCATTAATAACTGCTTTGACTTTTCATCATTAAACCCGTCTGACATCCATAAAGTTGGATCTTCAGAAATCATTTTAGCTTCCAACTCCCTTTTCTGTTGCTCAGCATTGATGTGCAGTTGTTGAATGCGAGACTCCATCCAATCATTTCCAAGCCGCTCATTTTTCTCAGACCAGCTGCCTTCAGTTCCATCAAAATGCGAAACATGAAATTGGTTACTGACTAGAGGGTGGTGAGGATTCTGTGGAATGGCACCAGGTGCATATTGCCCCAGCTGACCACCAGGTGGATTATGTGCACTGGATTCTTGCAATTCTAAAGCACGAGCACGAGCCATAGCATTAACAACATCCAGATTCATCCCCTGAGCAACATCAGGAAAGGATATTGACCTCTCAAGTGGAAGTGAAGCAGGCTCATAAAGACCTAGYCTAAGCCGATCTTGAAATGAAAGATTGCGCTCAAGGTGACTCAGCTGATCTACATGAGATTGCCTCTGTTGATGCTGGTATAAATCAAACCCTGAAGATGGTAAACGTTGACCACCGGCATGTCCCCTGAAAAACTGCTGATCAGCCTCATCCTCTGGCCAGATAGGACCCCCAACATGTCTCTTGTCCTCCATATTGGCCCTCTGCCTTAATGCCATAGACAACTGTCTTGACTGTAGCATCTCCTGCTGGAGAATTTGATGATCCAAGGATTGCATCTGTCCATGCTGAGCCCGAGATATTAATTCAGACAAATCTCTTTGATGTTCTTGTTGTGGTGGCAGATGACCAAACTTTGCTTTAATAAGCTGCTCAAAAGATGGATCAAGAGATCTTTGTTGATGATGAGACTGTTGCTGTAGCTCATGTAAATATCGTTGCTCTAATAATGCCTGATCAAGAGCACTATTGGCTCTAATTGGATCAATATGTGACTGCCCAAGGCCTGACTCGTGAATTTGTCGACGCAACAACTGTTCAAGCAGCACCTGTTGGACTTGAGATTGATGCTGTTCCTGCAAAAGTTTTTGCTGCTGCTGCAACTGCTGCTGCTGCAATTGATGTTGTAGCTGCAGCTGCCGCTGCTGTTGTTGTTGCAACTGAAGGTTCATGAAATGATCAATATCAGGAGTAGTTCTATTAGCCAATAGTTGCTGGTGAAGAAGATTCTGCTGTTGCATATGATGATCTAAGGCAGCTTCATTAGTGTGAGATAACAAATTCCGCTGTTGGAGAGCCTGTTGATACTGATGCGACATTAGTTGATCTGCCACCAAATCAAACCTATTGGATTCTTGTTCTATATGTGGAAGGGAATGAGCAACATTTGCATCCTGGTATACACTCTGGTCAGAGTGCATACTTCTTCTGTAAACATCGAGCCAAGTCTCTGCATTGAGAGATGCTTCTGCCTTCCCAACTAATGGAGCAGTTCTTCCCATGCTTGAAGGCATATTAACTGGCTTGGCATGTTTCGGATTTGTGCCTTCAACTGGTTTCATATTTGTACCTTCCAGCTCAGACCACAGCAATCCAAAAGGGTGCAACTTATTTTCATTCTGAACAGGCACACTGCAATCTGTCAACTCATTTAAAAGAGAAGGTTGGCTAATAGAATTCACCAAAGGAAGTACTCCAGAAGAGTTTGGAATTTGATAACCAGCTTTTCCAGGTCTTCCAGAAAACACAATTTCTGGAAAAACAGAAAAAATATCATGACAAATTAATTAAACAAAATTAACACAGTTCAACATCGTAAAGAACACAACAAACCTTCATCCTGTGCAACAACATCATGAAAGCCTGGACCCTTGGAATGCAATTGAAATGGTGCTTCAGTGTCRGACATTCCAGATGGAATGTGTTGATTGGAGAAGCTATGTAATTCGGCCAGTGACCGACGAACCTCATTTGTTGTGGATGCATCATTCATATCAAGAGCTGGATGCTTAGAAGGTAAACTGGTCTCCATTATTCCTCCCGAGGCCCCAGACAGGCCTGAAAGAGATTTTGTATCAGCACAATCAACACTTCCTTCTCTAACTTTCAGATGTGGCATAAGCTCCCCCAACTCACAGAATGAGGTTCCTTCAGGGGCATCTGCCAACCTGATTGGCAGGTCCAACCCAAAGAAACCTTGTTCATACCACAAAATGATGTCAGCCCCTATAAACGGCCCCTGGATAACTCCTTGAGGATCAAGATAGAACAAACTCAACTCCTCACACTTCACATCAGAACCTTTATTTGGATTTTTCTCAGAGAAGGGAATAAAGAAAATTGAACTAGGATCATCAGGAAGCTTGGATCTGACGTCAAGAGAATTTGCAAACTCAACTTCGTTAAAGTTATGAGGCTTTTTATGATCAGAATCTGCTCGCCCATTCACACCAAAATTTAGCTGACTAGCAGGGTGTCCACCACCAATCTCCATCCCACGTTGGGAAGCTACGGTAGGAACTGTGTGAGTCGGCCCATCTGAGCCGAACACAGAAACAGCTGCATGGGACCTTTCTTCCTCTTCCTTATGGCTGGTATATTTTCCTAATTCATAGAAATTTAGAATGTAAAGATGCTTTCAGTTACAGATGAATGCTAAGCTATTTCATATTCATTATCTGTCATAGGATGTAAAGCCTAACCATCAAGGACATCCCTCATCACTGAAGGACGACTCCACAGCGTCCTGTCACCAGCATCCTGACGTGCATCGTCAATTTCATGAGTAGGAATAGCAGTATCATCATTTGGAGTTGCAGCAATGGCACTCCATTTTTGTTCAGTATATCGATCATCTTTGATAATTAGAAAAAGGAAACATATAGTGAGATTTGGACAAACAAGTTAGCAGTAGATAAAACTTGGATATCAAACTCAATACCTGCTACATTCTCCGATGTTACAGTTGATTCTAGTTCAGCCTCATCTCCCTCTATGCAGTCTACATCTCCTGGATAAGATTTCAACAAAGATTAGTTCCTAGTTTCTTACAAAATAATAAATGGACGGATACCACAGCTATTAATTAGCAAATACCTAAAACACATTCAGTTGGCTTCCCCTTTTTGTATGAATTGTATAAGACCCCACTACTTGTGATCTTCCCCTTCCATATGTCACCCAGGATAGCCTGCATGACACAAATGACACCGTCTCGATGATAATAGTAATTAGAACATACAGTAGATTTACTGTAATCCAACATGTCAAAAGAGTCATTAGTTACCTCCTCCTCAGCATCTGGAGAAACAAAAGCTAATGGTTCTACGACACTAGGTTGAGTCACATGCTGTAATTCATCCATATCATCGGGGAGAGCTGAAAACAATGGATTGAGTTTTTGCCTCCGATATATGTCAAGAAGCTTACCCCTGGGGTAACAAAAAGCATGAGATGAGTATCTTGGTTTCCCAGGAACATTTTCAATCTTATCCAAGTGTGGAACTCCTGTGGGACCAGTAGATGATCTCCCAATAGTACTTGACCTTCCTCGTCCAATTGCAAATCCTAAATTAGACCCATCTCCCCGTCCTCTCTCAAGTGAAAACCCAGGTGCAGCACGAGACGAAGTTGAGCCAGCAGAATGGGTTTCCATCCTATGGCGAGGCCTCCATTTATCACGTGAATCAGAGTCCCGCTCAGAGGCAGGGCGATTGCTACTCACTGATTGACTGTCATTGCGAATATCTTCCTTATCAGCATCTGATCGCTTGTCCGTCCGTGATTCCTTATCTTTGTCCTCCGGTCCCCACCTCAATGTCCATTTGCTGTCGCGTCGTCCATCATGACCAGAAGTACGACTATCATGCCCAGAAGTACGGCCATCATGCCATCTGTCTGAATTAGGCAGGACTCTACTCTCCAATGTCTCCTTAGATGATATGTCAATGCGGCGCTCAGTTTTCCTTCGACGACCACCAAGTAAGCCAGTTTCTCTCTCTTCCTCTCGCCAACGGCGGCCACTTTCATTCTCAGAAGTATTTTTCCTCCAATCCTTCTTGTCCTCGGACCCATCTGGACGCCAACCCTCTTTCTGATTGAGATCAGTGGAGTTAGCAAGGGACACTGGGGTTGGAGCACGCATTTCCTGTTCAACATTTAACAGAATGCTTATTTACTGCAAGAGATTAATCCACACTCTATGCAAGTTCAATTTCCTCAAAAGGATTGCATAAAAGTTGTTTTAATGCTTAAAATATGCTCCTTATGGACAGACAGCTACAACTACAACCATACAACCTGTGTGTGACCAGAACCAAATTTGTCAAGATTTCAATTTCAGTCCACATGTTAGCTGTGTTTTTCAACGAAGACTAAGAATAATAGAAGAACAACCATATGTTGAAATTTGTAAAGCACAAAGACATAGTAAATGATAGGAGAACCTTGGTTTAAGATATGAAACAGAGAGACATTCTCAGGAAAAAGTTCAAAACTAATAGAAAGTAACCAACAATATTACAATCTTTTCCAACTTTTCAAGGTTAGAGCAAGAGAGAATTTATCATGGTTCATGACATCTTGTTTATTCCAACAAAAAAATCTTGAAGTGAAACTTCAAAGATCAGCTAACAGCTTGAGAACAGCTGGAAATATTTTATCGTGGTGGGAGGAATTCTACAATTATTAGATCAGTAAGAACCCACTTTAATTTGAAATGTCGTCATAAAAAACTTTCATGAGGAGTAAAAATCTGTTTCTATAAGCAACTTGAGGGTGTAGGGAGACAGGGAATTTCCATCATATTTCTATTGATCCAAATTTTAGGTTTGAAGATTCAGTAGAGATATTGAGACGAGAAAAACACCTAAGTAGCTTCAATCTCCATATCCAAACTATGATATAGTCTGTGCAAGCTAAGAGGCTGACTGGATTTCTGAAAATTGTTTATAATAATAGTTTTACAAACTTATCTTCTATAAAACAGTTTCTTAATTTTATTTTTTTAAAATCTTATGTTATCATGTTTTTATCTGTTTCTTTTACATATTAATTTAATATGGCATATTTAAGTCAAGATATACTTTTAAAAACAATTATAGTTACAAAATGAATAGTCAATTTAGAATACATCAAATAAAACACATGCAAATGGCAAAATATTATTTCATTTCCCTCTTTTGCACTCTTTTTTTTTTCTTGAAGACTTCTTAAAAATTTATAGTGCCCAATAACATTTTTGTGTTTTATTTTCAAACTTAAAGACTATTTCTAAATATGACTAAAAATTCCAGGCGTATTATCAATGGCTATCTCTTGGTGCTAATATATATTATTAATCTTCAGGTTTCCTGTTAAGACTACCTCATCATTTCCAAAAAAAATAGGAGAATATTTCAAGTTTGCTCAAGCATATTCTCCTCTACCTCTTGAAAAACAGTTCRGGTGACAGAAACATGTAGATCACATCTTGAAATCAACCAAAACAAAAAGATTACATCATCGTCAACAACAACAAGGCAGTTTATTTTTTATGGAACAAAAATACACAAGCATTTGAGCACAATGCTTTGGGTTGGRAGCACAAGGGGAACGTGACAAAATAAAATTTGCTGTTCAATTCCTTACTTCTGGAACTCCACATATACAAAAATGTTTTTAAAGACTTCATCAAGAAAAATCATTGCAGAGTAAACGTTTAAGGGTATAAGCTGGAACCAAAAACATGYAAACATAACTACTCCAACAGCACAACAGAAAGGAAAATAAATGAAATTATGCCAAACAAGTCAAAATATTACCATCTTAGTTTCACTGGGTTTGGCATATAGCCATTGAGGGGACAGCGGTATGCTGCTCTCTGATGCCACTGGATCTGCAGCATGTGAGCATGTTAGCATAGTTACATTCACAGGATAAATGTTAGCATTGTTAAGAATGGTGAGCTACCTTTCGACTCATCAAGGAATGCCGCGAGTCCCTTCTCCTCATCATTCCCTCCAGAAGCTTCCACTTGCGTAAGGAAAAATGTGTTTGCAACAGTCATTAATAGGCAATAAATACGTAATACATAACACAAGAATCACTAAGGCGGCAGTATATCCTGCTTAACCACGAAAAAATACAGAAACTGCAAGAATCGGCCATCTAAACCTCTATGGGAGAACAAACAAATACAAAATAGTTCAAAAATTGGCCACCAACGTAGTTATCTTTTCAGTCAAGACTGCTAAACCCCATGACACGAATTTCAATTACGACATTAAAAGGAGGTGAACTCCAGAGGATTGGAATTGCCATCGTAAAACAACGAATATCCAAAGATGTACGAACGAAATTAAACTAGCCGAAGCCCAAGAAAAAGAAAATGCACATTTATTCGATTACGACCTAAAGTGCAGTAGATGCAATCCCCTCCTCCCCCGTTCGAATTACCAAAAAGAAAAAGAAAACAAAAAACGGAGCAGCAAATCATGGAGAACAGTGAAAAACAAAATTGAAGCAACGATAAGAACGGCAGGCGATCTGGAGGGAAAGCCGAAAATCACACAAAACCCTAATTGAGGAAGTGGGAAGAGAGGRATTAGAATCCGTGAGGAAAGCGGGAGGGGTCAGATCAAAAAACGAAATAAAGAAAAGAGACATTAAGTGAAAGGAATCAAATCGGGATCAAAGAAAAGAGAGCGGCAAGAGCGATTAATAAATAGAGAAAGAAGATAGAGAAGATTGGGAGTACCTTTGGGAGTCCAGGAGTGATCGGAGGGGCGAGAGGAGAGAAGATCGTCGGGGAGATCGAAGTTGGGGTCAGCCATGGCGGTGGAAGAAGGGGATTTGTTTGGGGATATGGAGAAGAAGTGAGGGAGAGAGAAGAGAGGAGAGCGAAGAGCGAAGAGCGAAGAGCGAAGAGCGTATGTATGAGAAAATCTAGGGGTTTGAGGAGCAATGGTGAAACTGTTGCAGAGGAGAGGGAGAGAGAGAGAGAGAGAGAGAGAGAGCTCTGTGAGAGAGAAGATGAAGGAAAAGGGTAAGGAGGGTTTGTGTTTGGGTGGTCGCAACACCTAAATCAACTAACCAAGTAAATGTGATTTCTTCTCTTTCCCCTTTTTTCTTTTCTTTTAATTACTATTTTTTATTTTTAAAAACGCTGCTCTGTATATACTCTTTAATAATTTGGAATTTCTTTTCGATGAGCACCAATTGGGCTGGGCGCTTCGAAATCTGGGCTGGGCCTGCTCAAACACACAACTGAACTGGGCTGGGCCAGCCCGAAAGCTATTGTATCGAGAAAATGGTTTTAATATACTCYTTCTTAGATTCCAAATTAAATATAGAGATATTGTTTTTGAAGGGTTGTTTTAGATACTTATTTACACTAGTGTATTAYCACGTGCAATGCACGTATAAATTTTTTTTAATTATAAGGTAACTTAAATTTTATATAATTTCACGTAAAATATTTTAAGTATAATTATTTTAAAAAGTAATTAAGATTAATTTTTATATATATTTATTATTATTGACAGCTAATTACTAATAATAAAATGTACTATTTATATATATTTTTAAAATATATTATTTATAGTTAATTGTTAATGATATATTTTATAAATAAATAAATTAAAAGTAAAGGAAAAAATTATATATTAATAAAAAAGTAAATAGGTATTTTAATATTTTTATTTTTAAATTATTTCAACCTAATATGAGTCCTTTATTTTATTTTTTTAATATTTTGTTTGTTTATTAAATATTTGTTTAGGACTGATATTTTATTGTATATGTTGAATTTTTTAACTAAAACTAAATTATTTTATTGATTTAATTTTATATTATAATTAAAATTATTAAAGAAAAATTCTTCAAATTATATTATTAGAAAATAAAATGACCAAAAGTTTTATATTCCACCTTTTACGATTCTATACAAATTATTGTTTATAATTAATTTATTAATTAAACATTTTTTTATATACTGACTTCTATGATTGTTTTTTTTTTCAACAATAAGAACATGAGCTTGTAATTATCTATATTTTAAACAAATATTCTAAATAAAATTTCTAAAAAAAACATTCCAAATAAAAAAAATACACTAAACAATAAAAAACATTAGTAACAAAAAAAAAGTCCAAATCCTAAACTAAATAAAATTGCTAAAAAAAGAAACATTCCAAATAAAAAACACACTAATTAGAAAAATAACAATAGTAACAAAAAAAATCCAAGTACTTAATATACACTCATCTTTCAGAGTAAATATGYTCATTCTTGAAGATTGCTTGACAGATACTATTATTCAATTTTGTAAAATTGTGGAATGGTAATGTTACAAACCTAGTATTCGAGATATGTAGATTCAACATATGCATCTCTTGCAACTTGATGAATATGTCACAAATATCTCGAGATGTTTTCAAGATTGAATCATCTTTGAGAGATGTTTCAAGGAACTAAGAATAAAAAAGTATTGAAACTTGTGAAAAACATGTAGAAGAAAACCTATTTTTATAGTAGTAGAAGATAAAACGTTACAAAAGCTTTTCAAATTCTAAAACTCTTGAAATTCTAGTATGAATTTTAATTAAAGAAAAAAWTAATTTTATGTTGTTGGAAAACTTTTTGCATTCTAACCTTTTATATTCCATGCATTTATAGTATTGATAATTAATAATTAATAATTAATTTAATATTTGTAATAATATATTAATGGAATAATTTGTAAATTTGTAAATTTAATAAAGGGCAAAAGTGTCCAAAAATGTTTTTCCTACRTCCTACCTTTTTAATATAGTATAGATATAGATAAATCTTTAAAATTTTTTAATTTTACAATTTTAGATTTCTGCACGTATGATTTTATTTTAATTCCAATTTTACCCTTATTTATTGCATTTATCTTTATTATAGTTATTTGTTTTCTGACATATAAAATATTTAATTCCATAAATTATTATCATAATGATTGTGGCCCCATACTTATTTTCAACACCAATCCCTTAATTCACTCCTTCAAAACCTTAATTTACTCTAATTCTCTTTGATTTACCAGGTAAATGTTTTCACTAACCTCCCCTTCTTTGAGTTGATGTTTTAGTTTTTTATTTGGGTGGTTCCCTAACCTTACTGAAATTTCCCACCGTTCCCCGTAATATATACCTATATAAAAAATGAAAAATATCAAATGCTCATTTCAAGGTTAAAGAAGTATCCAATCAAAGATTGGTTCATAGTTAAACTTCAATCCTAGTTGAATTTCAATCACTATATCCATGAAATTCTATAGGACATGGTAGTAAGTATAACATATTGAATATAAAATATATTCGGTATAACATAGCTGTGAAATATTATGACTAAGCTTTTTGAGATATAAAATTTATCCATATATACACCTCCTAAAATCACTGTTAGCAACTCATTYTCCAACTACAACCCTCGGATATATCCGGATTTTTTAGGCTTCTAAAATAAAATCACTGTTAGTAACACACTCTCCAACTACAACCCTCAGATATATCAGATATAAACTAAATTCTATATAAACTTCYTTATATCCCTATATATACAATAGTTCACACGAAATAAGAAATTGAAAACAACGACTACTTAGGCATGGAAGGAACATTGAAAGGGTTTAACAGTACAAATAAAAAAAAACAGGGTTTTCAACATTGTACAAATCTGAAAGAGAAAACTGTTACGATATATTGGAATGCAAACCTTTCGATCGGGATAAACGGAGACCAACTGCTCCGGCAATGGAGGGGGACCGGAGATGAAGGAACGGCAACCAAAGACGAAGGAGCAGACGGAAACGGCGATTTTTTGAATAAGAATAACGAAGACGGGGGCAGGATACGACGACCGGAGAAGGAGGCACCCAGACGGCGGCAGAGGCGAATGAATGCAGAAAATAAAGGAAGCATAAGAGTCGGAGGAAGGGGTTTCAAAATTTTCGAAAATGGATGATTTTAGGGATTTTGYGGTTTTGGTATTTTTTTTACTTTTGGAAAGTACAATTAAGCAAATTTTAATGGATTTAAATTGTAACCTCCCAATTTACCATTTTGTGATTTTAAAATTTTTTTAATATTATAAAAGGATATACTAGTAATTTGTGTGATTGGTATCATTCTAATAAGGGTTGTTTCGTGACAAAAGTGTAAATTCTATACATTTCACTCCTTTGATGTAATTATGATTTCTAAATATCTCATCAATGTACTAATCCCTTAAATATAGGTTAAAATACTAATCTGGTTGTTGTACTTATAGTTTTGGTTCATTTTAGTTGCTCAGCTTTCAAAAAGTTTGTTTTCGTTACTGTATTCTTAAAATGTAAAAGTTATTTTGTACTAAAGAGTTTCTGTTATATGTTAAGTTTGTGTTGAAATTTTGTAAAGAGAGACTAAAATGATCCTTTCTCAAAAGTACAGGGACCAAAATGAAGTTAAAAACATAGGGCCAAATTGAACATTTTCAAAGTACAGAAACTAAAATGAACCCATACTTATAGGAATCAAAATAGTATTTTAACCTTAAATATACTTGTTGGTTACAGGCTATCTATGATTTTGAATTGAAAGGTAAATTTTAAAATTTGAGATATAAATATGTAAATAAAAAAAATCGACCTCAAGAGAAGGAGTACATGCGAGTTACTGCTACTATGCTCATGTTGACTTTCAATTTTGCTTATGTCTAATAGATTTCTAAACTTACAATTTTGTATCTAATAGTCAATATATCATTAATTTATAGCACTTTTTTTTTTAATTTTGAACCCACTAGCAGTGTTTGATTTAAAACAAAATTCAATGTGTGGTCTAATAAATTTTTGAATTATCAAACCTCCAACTTCAAGGAAATTAGTATATGTCAATTAGCGCTTAGCTACGTTTATATTGACCACAAATTTGAAAGTTAAGGTGAATTTAGACATTTTTAAACTCCCAAGACTATTAGACACAAAATTGAAAGCTTAAAATTTTGAAGTGTATGTACCTATTAAACATATTTCTAAAAGTTGAAGGACTTCCCTTACAATTTAATCCCATTTAAATTTAGATGGGTTAAGGGATTTAAATGTATAAATGTCTTTGCAAATTTTTTATTTACAGTATTGAATGAACAAATTAATTAATATCCCATTTATGTTGCAATTTTAATATTATCATATTTTGAAGAGTATTTAGGAAAGAAGGAAAAATCTCATACATAAATTTGTCACCTCATCGTGGTTGGGATTTGAATCTCTACCCTCGTTTTGAACCTTTAAAAAGAAGGAAAAATTCTTATATAAATTATTATTGTAGAATTTAGAGGCATATCTCTAGAATTTAGTGTTCAAATCAGAAGTGATTTTCAACCTTTTTTTCCAATTATTTTTTCACTAATAAAGTGTGTTTCCGGGTCTATTTGATTGGTAATAGGAGTGYTCAAAAAATCCGGTGACTCGAGTAACTYCAATAACCCAATCCAAACCAAGATTTGGTTGGGTTAGAAATTTTTTCAGATTGGGTCCAGTTGGTTTTTTTTAGAACTGAAATTTCGGTTTGGTTTACAAGTTAAGTAAATTTTTAGTTAGTTCAACCAAAACCAAACCGAAGCCAACATTAACTTTTATATATATATATGTACATGTATATATATATATAATAAACCAAACAAACTCTAGCCGCCCCCTTTTGTTTTCCTCCCCCTTCGTCTCCCTTCTCTCGTCTCCACCTCCCTTATCTCATCACCACCCTTAATCTCAGTCTCGTCTCTCACTTTCGATTTTCCACAATCTCAGATTCTCATCTTATTTGTTGTCGTCATTCGCTGTTATTTATTGTCTGTTGTCAAATCTACTGCTTTTCGTCGTCGTTCGCTGCTATATACACCAGATTTGATACTGCTCGTCGTTGCTTTTGCGCCAGATATGCTACTACTCGTCGTCGTTTGCTGCTATCCGTGCCAAATCTGTTCCTCGACGTTTTCTGTCATCCACCGTCAGATTTGCTGTTATCGTCGTTCTACCGTCCACCGCCAAATCTACTAGCTGTCGCCATTCACTGCCGCTTGCCATTCATCCCAACCCAACCTTGATCTTACGTCTCCGAATAAAGAATAAACAACAGGATCCCGATGACCCGATCCGACCCAACCCAAAAATATAGGGTTGGGTTGGCTATGCATTTCGGTTTCATTGGATCGATGCCCTAATTTTCGGGTTCGTCCCAAAAACTTGTCTAACCTGACCCGACCCAACCCGTGAATATCCTTAGTTGGCAATCTGAATTCTGTTTATTGTTTTCAGATTCATGAATATTCATTTCGCAGTTTTATTTTTTAGAACTGTTTTAGGATTCTATGATCTAAATCATGAAAACTCCCGAAGCAACATTTTTATGTTTTTAATGTTTTCATATTTTGAATTTGAAACTTCAAAATATAATATTAACCCGACATTAAATTCATTTCAAAAAAAAAAACCCCCACATCAAATTCTTAAAACTATCCTGTGATACATGGAAATTCTGAAAACAATATTTTCATCTTTCTAGTATGTTGGTATTTTGAATTTGAAACTTCAATAGAGTTACATTAAAAATGATAAAAATTTCAATAAAAATACTATTTAATTTAAAAATTCATAATTTTTATTAAAATTGAAACAGATAAAAATGGTATATTGTAAATTATATAATATCGTAAACTAATAATCTACAACATTTATAACATATGTTTTAATAAATTAATTAATATTAATTTAGATTCAACTAAGTATTTAATACCACTAATTTATTACAGTAAAACAACTTTTTTTTTAATTGAGATCCAATTTTTAAATCTGCTATCAAATACATATCTAAAAATACTAAAAACATGAATACARCTTTATTTTTCATATTGTTTYATATCATCAATCAAACGCATCCTAACATCCCGACGATTTGATTTCCTCCCTAATTTGGTATATCATGCTTTATTTTTTAAGCTTTAGTTTTTTTTAGTACAGTAATTTAAGCTTCAGTTATAATCCACTATTTTCTAATTTATGAAACCACATAATTAAGTAATTTTTCTTATATTATTACCATTAATAAAAATCGATATTCAAACTTACGAGTTTTTTTTTTAATTAATAAATGTTGTAACCCATTGAATTATGTTAGAATTTTATTTTTTCTATAATTATTTTTAAAATATTATTATTTTTTAATGGCATTTAACTAGTTAAAATGTGCCCATTAGAGAGCAATGGCCAATCAATTGATATTTATGTTTAAGAGATATATTCGGAAGTGACTATATCATCTAAAATGATATAGTCTAATCGGGCAAATTACATATTTTTTTCAAACTATTATATCCTCAAAAATAATTTTAAAGAATTTAAAATTATTCTTATAAATCTATATTAAAATGGCAATGTTTTAAAAGTTTAACATTAATAAGTGATTTTAGATATAATATAAAATTGACTTGACGATTACCATAAAAGAGYAGATTATTRATGGATAATCATAATCTAGGTTGTTATAGATAAGAAAATCTCTATTTTCTATTATTCGAATTACTAATCAATTCAATCGTGATGGTATTAGGATTTCCCGTAGATTGAAGAGAATATTAATTCAAAAGAATCCTAACCTTAGGATTTTCCCTCTATAAATAGAAGGTTAATCTTTGTTATGCTAACAACACTCTACACTTTATACTCAACTACTCCRATTCTGACTCGTGGCGAAAGCCACACCGATYTTTAATTCTATTATGTTTTGTAAATTTCTGCATTAAGGTGATTGATGTGAGTAAGATCATTTCAATATTAATTAATAATAATGATTGATATTAAAATCGATGCATCAAATCTATTATTAAAATAAAAGGTTGATGCATCAAAGTAAGTAGATATATAAATTAAAAGTTTAAGGGTGATCAAGGCYGAGTTCGACCAGGTGACACGTTATCATTAAGTCAACAATCCAACATATTCTACAGGGAAAGTTCAGAGGAACTTCCGAACTATTGTGACTATGTATTAGTGGCCAAACTAGTCGGCAATGTTATGAACTTGAATAAAAACTACTTAACTGCATCTTTGCCTCGTGGTGTATCTATTGCCTAAAATTTCGAAGGTAATCGTTGRGATGGACATACCATTCCAATGATTATATTTCCTTTCAAATAAGTACTCAGACGGCGAAAGGAGGTACGCGATTTTTGATTTGAGGACTTTTATTCTCTTGAATCTCATATTGACAGAAACTTCAAAGTACTAACTTGTTATATTTTTGGAGACATTGATGCTTTAGCCAAATTTTGGTTAAAATACAAGATATTGAACTTTCTTCGACATGTTAATATTGATTGCTATACATACATGGATTTGATATTAACATTTCCATAATATAAAAATATCGATAAAAATATTGAAAAAATCAACAAAATATCAATATTGTGGATATAATAATAATAATAATATTTTTTAAATTAATCAAAAAAATATAAAATATTTATTTGTTAATTTAAATATTCCTCTTAAAATTTTGATTCTTATAATTTTTTTAGAAATACCCTTCRACATTAATAATTCCATAATCAATTTCGGGAGTGATGAGAAATTTAACGAGATTGTAAAGGCAGTTGGAGAAAGGCTATGGTGCCACGTCATGGATGATGAAATTCTCATTGTGTGGATAGGCGTTGACTTTTTTTTAAGAGTTTGACAAAATTTTCCAGCCGACACGACACAACACGACACGCGCGGTGACATTCTTTTTTCTTTTCATTTTCTATACTTTTTTTTCCTTTTTTTGAAAAATTATTATTTTYTCTCTCTTTTTTGGAGGCATCAGGCGAAGGATTTGTATTTTAATTATTGTATATGTTGATCCGTGCTASGAGTGCATGTAGTTTGGATTTTAAAAATATTTTATTTATGTTCTTTATTTTTTAAGAAGAAAAATAAATTATATGGTYCAACCTCCATAAATTCAAATGTGATAAAATAATTTTTTATTTATGTTTCGAGATAAATTGGAAKTTATTTTGGTTGTTTCCAAAATTTCTATATAATTTTGAGAATCTTTTGTAAAAGAATAGAAATAAGAATAGGTTACAAAATGCTTAGATTTTTAAAGAAATTTATAAACGAGAAAAAAGAAATGGAAACGTTACAGACCCTAAAATTTTAAGACAGATTTTAGAATAGGTCTCTTAACTTTTAATTTCGAATCTAATACATCTCTACTATTAAATCTTTGAACGTAATATTTATAGACCATGTTGTTTGTATTTTTTTAATTCAATAACTGTGCAGAAGAGGATGAAACAGAATAGAATTGGTAATAGGTGCCTAATCAAGTTTTATAAATTTCGCCTAGTTGAAATACTGTCGAAGAGCTTTTTATATTTTTTTAAAATCTATTGTGTTTTACATTTTTTAATTTTATCATTTTACTCTGAAATATGTCAATCTCGATTAAAGGTCAAGTTTGAATTCCTACTTCTGCCTACTGTGAAACTCGATAACAAAATATAATGAATATTCAAATACCAAAACATGATTTAAATAAATTTATCAAAATCTATCCATTTAGACCTTTGAGTTTAATGGTTAGTTTAACAAGTCACCAAGAAGCATATATTTCAAAAGTATAGGTAAGAAATAACACAATAAAATAAAATTGCATCTATATAAAAGAATAGCAATCTAATGATAAAAGATTACTTGTCATTACGTAAAAAAATCCACTTGTTATCGACTCATTAGGTACATGAATTTTTAACAAAAAATAAACTGTATACAAAGTCAATTTATTAAATAATTTTTTTAGCATTCCTCATTTGTAGCAATAATATTGACCGAGATAATCAGAAATAATTCATCTTCAAGACACGACAAAGTCAATTTTCTCAAATTAATCTCATAGGGTTTCTAAAGTTTAATTAACAATAATTTTTTACCCTCTTAGCAAATTTCAATATAACACAAACTCATTAAGACACAATATATCTATTTTTAAAGCCAGATGTTTGAATTTTCATCTATATCATTAAACTAAAAATGTATGTAACTAATAATTTTACATGTATCATATACTTGCAATTAAACCAACTATTAAAGTATTTAAAAATTGAACTATTAAAAATATGAATCTAACTCAACTAGTTAGGATATGTCTATAACGGAAGGATCGTGTATTCGAATTCCACTCCATACGATGTACTAAAAAAGTATTAAAAAATAAGACTATTAGAAACCTTATGGAAAAAAAATTAGTAAAAAGACCTAAAGTCACGACGTATAACATTGGTATTATTAAAAAAAAAAAAAAAACCTCATTTTACAATGTAATAGAAAGAGAAGAAAATAAAAACTATATATATTTCTAAATAACAATAGTCTCAAGCTAGACAAATTATTTAACGGTAATACTTTGATGTTTATGAGAAGCACATCGCTAATCACCAATAATAACTTAAAAAGGAATTTAAAGCCAAACAAGAACATGGTCAAATCGTCTCTGACATCTACTAGATGTACAAATCAAATTTTCATACATCCCTTTGTTGTAGAATTAAATGAATGAAAAGAGAAATATCATAAACAAAAGTAGAAAATATACCTAGTTCAACTCTATTCAACTTTAGACTAAATGGATAAGCATACCATGTACATCATCGAACCAATTTTTGTATCTAAAAACAACTACTCCCGACAAGAAGAGTCTTTACTTTCTATGTTACTGTCGAAGACAAGATCACTGCACTTTCTATGTTGTTATTAAACCATAAATGTTTTTTCTCTACATGTTGAAAAGACGAGTGAGAGGCAGCTTCGCTTCGATTCGGTTTTTCCTTTTTTTTAATTTCATTTTACAACACAATTCCACAACTAACATATGTATATATCTTAACACATTTAGAGAAAAAGAGAGAGAGAGGGAGGGAGATTTTTTAGAATTGGAAGTGATTTAGAGCGAGGGAAGAAGGGGGGCTGAGTTGGTGATAAGATCCAAGTCGCTTAGGGTACCCACGGCGGAGATCGGCGGCGTCCATCTCCGTCAACACTCTGTAAAAGCTGTCGACGTGGCACGGCAGCCACAGCGGCGCCTGGCTGTTGAACCCGTACTCCGCCTCCGCCTCCTCCAGCAGCATTCTGAACAGAGGATGATTCGCGCTCTCTGTTTTCACCACAAATCTCTGCCTCTCCGCTCCGACGTACACCGTGAAACACCCTTCCGGCGCCACTCTCCGCCGCCTCCGCTTCTCCTCCGCCGCCTCCTCCGCCTCCAGCCGCGGCCACGACTTCGTCTTCCTCGTCAGGAACCGCTTTATTCCGCCCGACGCCGAGCTTCTCCGCCCTCGCCCGATCGACTTGCACCGCTCCCACGTTTTCAAGATCAGCCCCTTGTTCTTCGCCTTCACATCCATTACCTAAATACCAGATTTCCAAATCCAAAATTCCTCCGAATCGCAACGGAAACAGTGATTTCACGATCGATTTTGAGGAGATTAGCCTCGATCGTACACCAAATAGAACAGGATCTTAACCCTAGGCCTCATTGTGTTGCTCATCGCGACCAACCAGGACTCAATTCGAAGAATTTTGGGGACACAATAACGAGACGGAAATGAATTAATCGACGTTCATGAAAGAAACAGAAAAAAACAGAAATCAAATCGGGAAAATTCCTGGTAGATTCTTCAGAGAAAATGAAAAAAGTTCGAAAAGAAAAGAAAATCTGTGATCGAACTCTGTTCTCGTCTGTGAGTAATTGGAGGGAGGATGATAGAGCCTTTATATATAAAGCCAACCCCCAAGTGGGATTTTCTTTTTCTTTTCCTCTTCTTTTTTTCTCCCTCTCTCGATATTTTTTATTTAAAATATTTTTTGTTTTAGATATGACATCACTTGATTGTCAACTCCTTTGTCTCTTGGTGCACAATGTATATTTTTTTAAAAAAATAAAAAAGATTAGTTTTTTTTTAATTATAATATTTAGATTTAAATATTATTTCCATTAATCTATTCCTACCTCTTTTCAAATTTGGTTCATTTTAATCTTTATACTTTAAAAATATGATCATTTTGGTCAATTCATTTTCATTTTTATCTCATGTCATTCGATTCGATCATAATTTTAACATGACATTTCACTTATTAAATTTCTTGGAAAATGATCATGCATTTGTATTAAAGAGTTTTCGTTGTGTATAAAATCTGTGTCAAAATTTTATAAATAAGCATCAAATTAGTCACATTTATAAATACGGTGACCAACTTGAATGTTTTGAAAATATTGGGATTAAAAAAAATACAAGTTAACAGTAAAGGACCAAAATAGAATGTTCTGAAGTAGAAAGGCTAAAATAAACCAAAGCTAAAAGTATATCCAATYATTTCTTTTGGGTTTGGTCATAATTCTAGTATTAGATTTTCATAATGGTATCTTTTTAGTCTTTGAAAAACAATTCAATGAAGTCTTTTATATTTCAATTCTGATTCTAATAATTTATTGTCATATACTCTAGAATTTAAATATTGACACAAAATATTGATTAGATCAACAATTGATGATATGACATGTGGCACAAAGGAGTGGGACAATTGGATAAAAAAGTTTCTTGATGCAATGAATAGGTAGAAAAAATAATGCATTTATTTATTATTTATTATTTTTCTGAGTAAGATAAGTGGGGTGGGGGATTCAAACTCGTAACCTTTTGATCAAAGACAAATATCATTTATCACTAAGCTAATTTCATATTAGTTGTCTTCCTTTAAATTGAAAATAAAATATACCATATTTATTATTTTAATTGAATAAAAGTGTTTGGAAAGCAAGCATATTCTTGATTTGAAGTTGTTTTCGGTTGAGTTACTTTCATAATAGCCCTTAATAAGACTTTTATTTGAGATTGCAACTTGTTTGGAGGAAAATGTATTATGTGTAGGTTTGAGAGACTCTTCAACTCAATAATACCATACTAGACTCTACACTTTGAAAATGTAAACTAAATATTAATTAATTTTGTTGTTTTTTTCATCGTGCAATCATTATGTGTATTAAAAATGCAAAATCAATAGATAATCACATCACTTAAAAAGATAAATATTGCTTAATATGAATTTAGCTCGGCCATCAAAGCATATTGCTTATTTCCTAAAGGTTGGAAGTTGAATCCACATCCATCCTTTATTGTACTAAAAAAGATAAATACTAAATTTGAGAGAGTGACATTTCATTGGAACTTTTATTGACCGTTTCCATAGATTCGAGAGAGTGACGTTTTTCATCGTTGTCAAACTTTTAATTTCATGATAAAAATAAAAACAGAAAAACAGAAAAATATATAAGAGAGAAATTGAGAAACACTAAAAAATGAGCACATTGAGATATAAAAATAATTTATAATTTAAAAAGTCAACTAGTACTATTAAATTGAAGGGGGAAAAAAGGCAAAAGGCAAAATATATATATATATATAAATAAATAATAATGATTTATTTTTGTTTTGGTCCCTTCGATGGCATTAAAAGTCCAGGTTACATGTATTGGAGCACACAGCCAAGAGTGGACCGTTTGTATCAGTTATGATTTATGAAACCATTATCAAAGTCAAATTTATTTTTCTTTAAAAATATCTATGAAAAAAAAAACCAAAATTCTAGTTTTTTATATAAGTCAAATTTAAAAGAGAAATATTGGTGAAATTAACCGCTTCATGGACTTTCATTAAATATATATATATTAGCTAGTTCATATAGTTGAATATGACTTAAAAAAAAGATCTCTCTATTTTATATAGCTGGCCAATTGAATATTTAAAAGTCTGTTTGATAACGTTTCTGTTTCCAGGCTTTTTTTCCGAAACATGTATTAATTACTACCAAACTAAGCTCATGTTAGTTTACGTGATAATTGAAGTTACAAATCACAATTTTTGAACTAAAAAACTTATAAATCACAATTATTAACATTTATAATATTTAAATACTTGACATTTATAATACTTCTACAATGATTCCATAAAAAATATTTCACAGGATGAACAATACCAAACTCTGTTATATATTTACGAAAATGTAGATGAAAATTCTACTTCATATTTAAAATAAAGGTTAAAAAAACACTTGGTCCCTATACTTTCACTAAAGTAACAATTTAATCCCTGAACTTTAGTCGGTAACGATTTAGTCCCTGTATTTTCACTAAAGAAATAATTTAGTCTTTGAAGTTTAACTTGTAACAATTTAGTCCATGTCATTTAAGATTTGTAACAATTTAATTCTTATTTTAAAATTTTTTTACTAAAATTAAGTGTCAAATTTTATCGTATAGCAATTTAATCTTTGTAATTATAAACATATTTGGTCCTTCTTCAATTTGTCAATATATATATATATAAGAAATTTAATAAAAGAAATTCACGATAAGTACTAAATCGTTACCAACTTTAAATTGCAAAGACTAAATTATTACCTATTAAAGTTCAAGGACTAAATTGTTACCAATATAAAAGTATAAGGACTAAATCGTTACAAACTAAAATTCAGGGACTAAATTGTTACTTTACCCAAAGTATCGGGACAAAAAGTGTTTTTTAACCTAAAATAAATTACACCAAGAGAACGGGGTTAAAAAGATGGTCGACTTCTTCTCATTCTTTACAATCGATAATATAAAAGTAAAAAATAAGTTCGTAAGCAAACTCAATTTGAGTTCTTTCACTTGGCCCTTATTTTTTGTTTTGTTTTGTATTTTTTTTTCCTGCCACTGTTTTGCAAATAAAATGTTCGTTTCTCCTATTAATTTTTATATTTTACGTTATTTAAATCAGGTAAAATTATATATTGATAAATAGCGCCAAATTTTTTTATTTTATTTAATTGACATCTTATGTGACATCACATTTAAATTGGATTATTGGGGGAGATTTTAATGAGATAACTGCTGATTCAAAGAAGAAAGGAGGAGTGCAGAGACGACAAAGTTTAATATTGATGAGTGTGGTTTCATAGACTTATGCTATACGGGCTATGATTTTACTCGGTGGGTGACCATTATTCAACCCAACCAATATGCTAAATTTTGAGCCGTTGGAATATGATGAGAAAAAATATAGATCGATTGATCCTCCCGTAAGTAATGACAATAATAAAAGAATAAGAGATAGAGATAGAAAAACTTAATACCACAGGTTCGCCCCAATCTTGGGACTATGTCTAGTTTTTTGTAAAAATAAGTTCTACTATAATTGAGAATACTACAATAAAGATTTCATTCAAGATTGTTGGGTGTGTTGTCCTAAACTCGGGGTTTGTATTTATGTAAAAACAAATGTATATTCAATAAAGTTTTATTCAATCAATTTGTTGTTGAATTCATAGCATTGCATTGTCCAAAATCCAAAATTTAATAAACTAAACATCCAAGGTTATTATTATGTAATTGGGACAGTATATCTATTGGGTATATATATGATATACTGGGTATATATTGGATATACCCTTGATATACTAGGTATATATTTGATATACTCTTGATACACAAGTGGATAATGTCTCGAGAATACCTAAAGTGTCTATAGATATGGATAAGGCTAGGTACCTTATCGTGACAACACTATGGATACGGCCCACTTTGTAAATGTTACAGACGACTGAGACATGCGAGTGGGGGTATCCTATACAATGAGTTTATATAATACCGGACCGCGAAACAACCAATCTTTAGATGTAATACCATTAACTAATAGATTGCTATTTCTTAGGATGACCAGACAACTCATTTCAATCTTGAGTGAGTTATGGACTTTTGCCCGTGAGGGCTGTCCTTTGATCTGCATTGGTGAGAGTGGTCCGAGTCGCCAACTCAATATTCCTACCATTTTGGGGACGAGACCGAGTGAGGAGCTGGGAACATAAATTCACAATATGGAATTCACTTCTCTCCAACTTTAGGGAGTATATGAGTGTTCTCTTAAATACTGACTCCGTGACTTGAACAAGGGGTCCCACCCAACTTTAGGGAGAGGAACTTCCGGTTATTGGTCGGACCATAACCGAGTTGTTCATTAGAGGAGCAATGATATTTAAGGAGTAAGATGTAACTCAGGGGTAAAACGGTAATTTGACCCAGCTTGAGTTACGAGCAGTCGTGAAGCATTGACTTGCCATTAATGGTTATATATCCGTGGACACGAAAACATTCTATAGTGAGAAGAGTGCAACTACGAATCTTTAATGGAGTGACCCGTAGTTAACGAATGTTTATTAACTCGATCAATGAGTTTGATCGATTAATCTCGTATTGTTGGAGCTTCTGATCTGTAGGTTTATTAGGTCCCCTTGCCAGCTCATAACGGGTAAAATGAGGATCAAAATTATGAAATAATTTGAAATTTCAAATTATGTAAGAGAATATATA